GCACGCTCTAGTCGTTTCACCATTGGCCATTGCACTGCATTTCAGGTCACTCATTTTTTGAGTTTTTTGTTTGGCGATTGCTGCACTTCTGCCAAGTTTAAAGCTGCTATGATCAATATTTTTATATTGTCAATGGATAAAAACCTACAGAACATGATCACCCAACTCTGCAGTTCCCCTCAGCTCTACGAAGCATAATGCACTAAATGCAAAGTCCTTATAGGCAAGTCATCTTGGTAACGCCTCAGGGCGGTTATTTTTAACAAGAGCAGGCTCCAATCTAAATGAATAAGGAGAGACTTGCACTTTCACTGGTCACCGAGACGTAAAAAGCTGCATGTGTGGAATCACCAGTAAAATCTGATAATACCGGCAGAAAGAATTTGATGACTTTGCCCCAAAATAAGGTTTTAAAAGCACCAGTTTACTTATACTATGCGATATTATCGCATTTGCAATTAATTGTTGAGCCCTAGTCACCGGGATATAAAAACTGCTTGTACAGAATCATCAGTGACCGCTTATACTTCTACCACGCATTTGAGCTTCTTTACAGTTTTTCTCAGTCGCTTTGTTGCATTTCTCAGATCAGAATTGAAATTCTCAAAACTACTTGTTCAACCTCCACAACATCTCGTCACTTGTGCACATCATAAAAGCAATTTCTCATTGTTTTGAACATATTGCAAAAGCTTTGACACATTGAAGCAAATGAGTCTGTACAATTGTCTGCTGTTTCCTACATTATCAATTGGTTATGTCATCATGATCACGATGCACTATCCCAGTCTCTGTTGAATAGTCTTACCCCCCGAAACATCTAGGCATAAGTTCATTGCATAAGTCACTACATGCAAAATAGCTGAACACGTTGTCAAAATCAAAGTTAAATCAAGCTTTATTGTCATTTTTCGCATTCAAGTATACAGCTGAAAGATATTTTGTTTCGTACAGGCCGTGATGCATAAACAAAATAGGAATAGACAACAACAAATCACAACATACTACAGTGGCAACACAGCCCTCAGACCATTCACCCGATACACACAATAACAAACAGTGAACAGTAACAATACAAAGTGAGCAGTATATATATATATATATATATATATATATATATATATAGACAGGAACATCAGCCTAAGGAGTGTTTCACATGCTTACATTTCTAATTTTCTCATTTCTACCATCGTGCTATCCACTCAGTCCTTTCTTTTTCTTTTCTGCATTACAATGACATGGTCTGTCAACAAATTACAGTACGAACAGTAAAAACGTGACTGTGAATCCTGTCCAATCTTTTGCACTGTATGACTTTATACTGTTGAAATTTATATGACATATTGAAAAAGTGCAACACTGTGCATTTTCAGTCATTGTCATCAAAACATTAGCCATAGTTTACATCAGAAAACACTTACAGAGTGCACTATATATATTGATAACATGACTAAACATTTTGTCTATCTTGTTCGTAAACAATGACACAAGGACTTTTCATTCTGGTGGCACTGACATGTTCAATGACATAAAGATTTAATTTTGAGAGATATACTACGGATTTTGAGCAAGTTATGGGCTTTTGCAGGTAAACCACTCTGTTGTGCTGTTCGATGTGTTGGGGGAAATGCACTTACTGTTTTGCAAATGTTAGGGATGATTCGAGAAATGTACCAGAGTGAGTGAGAAAAACTAAGTGGCGTGTCTCCTCTTAAAAAATCTCTGCTAAATGGCAAAATGACCCTAGTTCCCACTTGACTCAGTTAACACTTTCCTAATGAGTTTATGGTCTCAAAATGATCATCATGCTGCATTGAAGACTTGAAACTAGCGAAGTCTTCTTCAATGCAGCAAGATGATCATTTTGTAAGTGATCAAGGCAACCTGTCAAGATAATGTCTTGTCTTGATAAATGTCTTATTAGGCGTTTTTCATTGTACACTTTAAGACGTTGGTTAAGAAGGCTACATTTGGTTTTAGCCAATATTAGCATCCCAGTTAATGTGAATTACGGATGCACCTTGCTAACCAAGCTAGCTAGCTCCAACCTCTTGTAGGTAGTGACTTCCGGTCACGTCTCATTCCAAAAAAACAAGATAGTGATGGCCAGTATACCAAACTCAAAGCTTTAAAACAGTAGTCCACAAACCAATGGGTGATGTCCACTTCTTTTATACAGTCTATAGCTCAGTGTTTTGGTTCACTTTGGTTTTCAGCTCCAGCAGGCAGCTGTTTTCAGCTAAGTGCGCTCTAAAAACTGACTGAACACTACCTGCCCACTACCCAACCGCAGCAGATAGCTGGTGAACACCGTGGAGCATTTAGCCGGAGCTGGTGGAGACCAAATGAGAGCTAAAAGGAAAGTAAACTTACATTCATCAGGTGGACACAAACATGACTCCAAATGAATAATAATGTTGCTCTGTATTTGCTGGATGCATAACCAGCAACTGTGCTAATTTAAAGTTCATCATGCTGACTTGGAATGTGATACAGAGGTGGAATCTGAATCCATAGCAAGCAGAAGATCATTCAACCCTTCAGTCAATGCATTTTCAGTGGAGTGACAGGACCTGAGAGCAGACTGAAATTGTTAAAAAGCATTACTGTTAATTATGTGGGTCGAAAGTTGCTGAGACCCAAATCTTTCTAGTAGACTAGTCCACAATTATCTATTGATCTTTCAAAAGTGTAGCTGGTAGGGGGTTGAGAAGGCAGGGAGTTGGTTTGAATAGTGACCATATGTCCTCTTTTTCCTGGACATGTCCGCTTTTTGAAACCTAATAAATGCCCAAAATGTCTGTGATTCAGCTTCTCCTTTCTACAGTTGGCATTCACTGTGTGCGGTTTTGCATTGCTTTTACCTTTCTCTTTTGGTCCAGACTTATTGCACGCCACCATTGGTCGGTCATGTAGAACTACATGTCCTTCACGCAAACGCTGGTCAAACTAGGCCCTTATTTATACAGTCTATGGGCCTTACATCTCAGTCATTACCCTCAGCACCACAACAACTGCCAGGAGACAGAGCAGCAGCTTGCTTTGTCAACAGAGGCACATGGCGCCTGAACAGAGTAAAAAATGCCCAAACGCAGTTCTTGAAGTGGGCCAGTACTGTCCTCTCAACCAGCGTTGAGTAGTGAGAAGATCAGGTGTTTTTTTTATCCAAGCATGTGCACGAAGTTACTCATCAATGTCACTTTTCCTGAACCGACCCATCACAGCCTGGATGGGGTGGGACATTAAAAAAAGTTGACGTAGTGCTACAGCAAACTTTCATTCTGCATGAATGGATCTGATTATTGACAAGTTAGAACTTAGCAGGGCGGTGCGGTGGTACAGTGCTTAGCACTGTCGCCTCACAGCAAGAAGGTTGTGGCTTCTGGCTTCCTCCCACCAACCAAAGACAGGCAGGCTAGGTGAATTGGTGTCTCCAAAATTGTCCTTAGGTATGAGTGGTTGTTTGTCTATGTGTGGCCCTGCGATGGACTGGCGACCTGTCCAGGGGCGCAAACTTTGGTGTATAAGTCTGTCTGTAGAGCAAACACACCTCTCCTGACATCAGCCTATTTGGTCGAAACGTTGGTCTTTTTCAGTTGATAGGCCTATTCTGTGAGGATCAACACAGGTGGACAGGTCCTCAATCAGGTCGCAGAATCTGATAGGATAGGTCACAGAACACCTGTTACCTGATCTCCTAATTATGAGATCTGGGGGGGTTACTAACTTTACTTTTCTGGTGTTTGGTTCCACCACCTTACTGTCACATAACAATTCATAAACTCAATTTTCTGAACACATACACTACATAATTTCATGTTATTGAATAAAAACCACATTGCGATTAATCCAGAATGTGAAGGCAACTCTAAAGGCAGCAGCATCACAGCCCTGACAGGACCAAATAGCCTAAATAAGAGCATTTTGCTTTAATAACTGTCAAGACACAGAGTTTATCTCTCTCACTCTTTATTAACTGATCAAGTGGCAGAACTGTTACATGTCTGATTGCCATTTATGCTTGTCTGTCTGTCTGTCTGTCTGTGTGTTTCTCTCTTCTCCTGTCTCCTCAGCTGTCGCATTCAAGATTCAACAGCAGGACGGATCACTATTATGCAAGAAAAAACAGCGTAATGCGCCAATCGGTGTCCTTCTAGTTTCTCTCGGTTGCACTATTTGGCAGTGAGAGGCAGGGGCGGGGAGGGAGAGTGAGAAGTGTCAGGCTTGCAGAAAAACGGCCGGAAGTGAGGAGACAAAGAAAAATAAGAGCTGTGTTTTTGACTTCATGCTATAATCCTTTTTTCTCTATTCTTCCTATTTATGAGCATGTATTGCATCTATCAGGGTTAGCTTTGAATGTGTTATATAACCCTTATTTGCTCAATGTTTATTTATATTTTCAGTAAATCCTACTTTTAGATTTTTTTCAGTCAAACAAGTCATCATTAATGCATTATGATAATTAGAATTTAATTAAGAAGTCAAAAATAAAGTGTCTATCAAATAGGTTATTTGATAAACGGAAAAGGGGGAAGAATTGATTGATAATGAACGGTCTCTGTTATATTAGCTGACCAGCTATTGACCCAGTCCACCCAAGAGTTACAAAGCTTTTGGTGACAGGAGAGTTAGGTTGTTGGTAACTTAAATAAAAAGCTCGCTGCTGCTAAAGCCACAATGTTTAATTTAACATTTCTGTTTCTACACCTGTTCAGTACTCAGGATACAACAAATCAAATAGTTTTTGAGCTACTGGAAGTCTATGTTTTACCATTAGATGCAGCTTAGGCTAGTTTCCCCCTGTTTCTACTCTTGCTTCCAGTCTTCCAGTGTGCTAAGCTAAGCTAAATGCGTCCTGGACATCTGTATCTATGGACAGAGACAAGATGGTTTGGAAAATGTTCCTGCTGCTTAATGTTCATAGACATTTGTAACATTTGTTCAGCTCTTGTCAATGTCTAGTCACTAGCTAAATTATTGTGAAAGGCTTAACCGGACGTCCAGCGTTTAATCGTGTCTAGCTTAACTTTCCATGGTGAGATGGCCGTGGAGTCTCTGCTGAATCCTGTGAAGTCGAAACGGGCTTTGTGGACAGACAGCAGGAGGCGAGAAAACCCGCCGCAGTCCGCTCCGACCTCCATTTTAAAAAAGTAATAACGGTAAGACAGAAACAAACATGCACCTGTAGCTTGCTTGTCAGCCCGCAGGTAACCAAAAACAACACACACTGAGCGCTCGTTTTGTAGGTGGCGTTCTCCCGCCGACGGTTGGTCTGGCGGGGGAGGGGCGGGGGGAAGCAGCAGCAGACTGGTCTCTGGCTGTCTGCTGTTGTCTTTCTGTCTGGGATATTTTGTGCTTTTTCCGCAAAAGTAGTGTTGGACGTTGTCCACTCTGATGCCCCTTTCTGCCTCCTTTACCCCCCCAATCTGTAAAGTAAAAGAGGCGAGCAACATGGCTGACGATGGCCCTGCAGAACCTTGGTCGTTTGTCAGTGCAGATGATGACTGAATAATATTTTTTATTTTTTTTTTACATAGCCAGTTAGCTAGGTGGTGGTCAAACTAGTATTCTCATTAATACTGTGACTTCAACAAGGAAAGACAAAAAAGGATTGTGGCTAAAACAGCTGTCAAAGGGTAGTTTGAACGCATTAAAAACCCTAATTAAAAACTCAAGGTCTGGTTTGGCACAGCATTTCGCAAATGCATGTTTTCTTATGCAGTCCATGAATTGAAATAAGCATGGAAAGCCCTGGGTTTTTATTTTGAAGGTGTTGAAAGCTTATTTGAATGCTTCAGTCTGTTGATGGCTACGCCCCCTTTTCCAACTTGTAACCAAATCAAAGCAGAGGTCAACTGGAGTCTGATCCTACAGGTAAAAAACTACAACCCTGCAGACACTCTGATGCTCGTCTCCCACTAAACAAGATTAGAGTAGTAAAAAAGATTATAACTGTGTGTTTTTTGTCTGCTTGCAGTACCCAAACTGTATTATTTCAACACATCTGCAGCACATCTGTCTTACCATATCGGAAAGAAGACAATCCGCAACCAAAAGCTGTTGTTGTCTTTAAAGGAACCGTTCACAAAAATCACAATAAAATCATGCAATGCCACCAACACTTAGTGGCATCTTTCCATGCACCTAGTTTTGGTTTTTGTTTTAAAAGATTTTAAGATGTTTGGCTGAGCAAAGGTTAGGAAAAAAATTGCTGTAATGTGTTCAAAAATAAACATGTTAATAGATTACATTTATCAATTAACAAAATACAAAGTGAGTAAACAGAAGAAAAATCAAAGTCAAATCAATATTTGGTGTGACCATCCTTTGCCTTCAAAACAGCATCACTTCTTCTAGGTACACTTGCACAATGTCAGGGATTTTGTAGGTATATCGTCAGGTGTTTGATTAAACAAATATACCAAAGAGGTGCTAATGATCACCAATTCAATATGTAGGTTCAAACACAATCGATAACTGAAAAAGAAACAGATGTGTAGGAGAAATACTGCATCAGTAAGCTCTCTGCCAGACAGACATTTCAAAGCAGACAGGTGTTTCCAGATGTTCTGTCCAGGCTCTTTTGGAGAAGCACAAAGAAACTGGCAACATTGAGGACCATAGACACAAAAGCCAAAGAAACCTACTGCAGCAGATGAAAGACACATCATGCTTACTTCCCTTGGCAATTGGAAGAACCGGCAGTAAATAGTGGGACCCCGGAACACCTGTCCGGAGAAGTCTGGTCAGAAGTGGCCTTCATGGAAGACTTTGGGCCAAAACGCCATACTTGGAACTGACATGGAAACACAGTGTCTGGGATTAGGATTTAAATGGCTTCAAGATTTATATTAAATGATGTAATAATAATAATTGTTACTATTATTTCATAATAATAGAAGATAACTTTTATTCACCTTGGGGCACCACTCTTGAACAAGAGAAAACTGATAGCCAATTACCTAATTCAGTGTCATTAAATATACTAAACTATCAATTTCAAATTATGACTTAAATGAAATAAACAACTATACCCTAATTACCTTTAGCTAGTCAGCTGAAGTATTTAGAGTTCTGCGTGGAAGAGATTTTCAATATATTCATTCTTATGCAGTATTGAAAGAAACTAGCATATACAATAAATAAAAACACTTTTAATTTTGCTCCCATTCATCAGGAGCTGAACTAAAATATCTATGATTTTCTCTATTTACCCAAAAGGCCTATTTCTCTCAAATATTGTTCACAAAATCTTTGTTAGTGAGCACCTCCTTTGCCAAGATAATCCATCCACCTCACAGGTGTGGCATATCAAGATGCTGAACAGACAGCATTGGTATTTGACAGGTGTGCCTTAGGCTGGCCACAATAGAAGGGCACTCAGATTCAGATTCATTCTTTATTGGAGGAAATTTGTTTCACATTCTGTACAAAGAGCACCTTCAACATGAATTCTACATACAAACTACATATAGTACACATATCCAGACAATGCACACA